ATTCTGGTGGAAGGTATCCCTGCCCATGGCAGGGGGTTGGAACTGGATTTTAAGGTCCCTTCCAGCCCACACCATTCTGTTATTCTATGACGATTCTATGACTCTAGCCCTCAGGAGCAGTGAGGCAGCTTCTGACCCACACACCATCCCTTCATGGGGCAAGGAGAAAAGATAAATCCTTACCTTGCATATAAGATGTGCTCCCATCTGGGAGGAATCACATACAGGAGGTAGATAGGACCATGACTGAAATCCTGTTGAAGCAGGAATTAATATCTTTGGGGTCACCAGATCAGTGTGTAGGTGGGAGATGGGACTGCAGGTACCTGGGTTGCCATCAAAACCTCCTGCCATCCCTGAGCAGGCACACTCAACACAAAAGCTCCCGGCAAAGCTGCTCTGAAACAGGCCAAGGGAGAGTTTGCTGATGGGGAGTCAGCAACCCCACTGCCTCCCAGGAAGGCAACCTTGGCAAAGCATGAAACAACTCCACTTTTTTCTTCTGAAGACTTCAAACAGGCCCCTTGTTAGTGCAAAGCTCAACTCTACCCCGGCTCTGGGGAATCCTTCTGTTGCTACAACAACTAATGCTACAGAAGTAATAAGGCAAGAGTGGAGTTTTTCCAAGGACTGGATTTGCACTAAGCTGCTAAATTCAACACATTCTTGGCCAAGTGGAGAACTAGGGAGGAGAAAAGCCAGATTTTTCCTAGTCCTGTGCCTCTTGTACGGCGCAGGTAGAGCATCCCAAAGCTGATAGGTTGGGCAGATGCAAAGCTCCTGCTCCCACCACCAACCTCTAACTTTTTCCTCTTTATTCCTTAATTGGTAGGCTTTAACGCACAAACCTTCACCCAAAAAACACTAATGTAGGTGGGAAGCAAGAGCAAAGGACAAGGAGGTTACAATCAGAGTGAGTCTTCAAAACCATACTGTCCTGTTGTCTCTGTGTCCTCCATCGTTTTGGGAGTCTGATGCAATGCTACGTTTACTAAATTTATGTTTACTAAGCATTTGGGTGCTAACAGTGAAAACAAGTATAAACAAGAAGCCCTTTGCAGTGTTGCATGCTGAAGGATTGGTTGCCTCTTGCTGCAGGACACAGGGAATTATTTGCAAATCTCTGTGAAATTGTTGCAAAATATTTTTATAGTATCATATACCAACCTTACGTTGATGAAGACAGAATGACTGAGGGATGCGAAGTACCTTATATTCTTTATTTAGAGACATATTATAATCTTCCCTTGCCCCATCCTTATGTGTAGAGGTCCATTTTAAAATTGAAAAGAGCTAAAAAAAAAGAGAAAAAACCAACCAACCAAAAAAAAAAAAAAAAAAAACCCAAAACCAAGAATAAATATATTTATTAATGGAGTTGTACAGCTCTGAGCTGAAACCTCTGAGCCAGCTGTGGATTTAGATGCTACAAAACACAAATAAGGGCTAACCTTCCCAACCCTGGGCAGCTGCTGCGAGAGCAGATGCTCGCAGTGAATAAAGACGTTGCATCTCGGTCCATGCTGTTACACCTTGATGGGCACAGCTCCTCTCCCTCCCCAGCACAGACACTGGCAGCTGCTCGCTGTGCTCAGCAGGACTGTTATCAGATCATAGTGACGTGTTTGCTGCTCCGGTTCTGAAACCAAACCAATTGCCATCTCCAGCAACGCTCTCAGAGCTGTCACCCTTCTGAAGGACATCATCAAGATCTCAGTGAGAAAGTGAGATATTCCCCCAGATGGACCAGCAGGTCATTTTTAACCTGTTTTCTATTTTCTGAATTTCTGAAACCTTCCTGTAACTAGAGGTTTGTGTTGCCTGAACACGGTTCATCCCTTATGCAGCGTTTGCTGGATGCCGGAGGAGCCGGCAATTCCCTTCAGCTACAGGAACCAAATCTCTGTGATCAGCAGCCGCCTGTCTCCAAGGCTTATTTAGTCTAATCACATAGTCAAAACTGGAGACTGGCCTCAGCTTTTCAGGAGGAACAGCTGAATCAAGAGTGGGCAGGAGCAGAGACTGGCACCATTGATAGCGGGAGAGAATAAAAGCGCAGGAAGACCTATGAAATTAACTACGCAGGATGCAAAATTGGGTGTATGACATTGGATTCTCCAGCAGGTAAAAAAAGTATTGAAAAATACCCTCAAATGTATTGGTATTAGTTTGGAGTATTTTTTTTCTTCCAATTAGTTTGTCCTTCCTTAGTTATTAAACAGGAGACGCACACAGAAGGAGAAGTTTCTCCACCAGGAGGATGAAGAACCTTTCAATACCTCTGCAGGACTTGCTAGAGATATTCTACAGGCACTGTGGGATATGGAGGAGAAACCTCTCTTTAACAGGCCTTTTTCAGAAATTCTAGAAAGTGATTTTGGCACCTGATCACTAAACTGGTGCCACAGGACATCATACATGGTGGTGTGCCCAATGTGTAGAGCCTTACCTCACCCCTGCCATGGAGCTCAACCACCAGCAGCCTGTGCAAAACAGATGGGCAGGGTATTTTATACCCCAGCAGTGTTTTTTTTGCACATCAAAGTCCAAAGGCATAAGCAGTGAAAGAAGAATTTACTCCGACCCAAAGAAACCAGATACGAGCAGTAAATAAAGACCAAGCCCTGCCAAGTGACTTCTGTGTGGCACAGGTTTATAGTTAGCAATGCAGTTTGTTTTATTAGTTATAAATAAAGTACAAAAAATCCACCAAAAGTGAATCTAAGCATTTACACAATTTCTAATGTCTTTCCATTTCTTCAATGCACTATTGCTTTAATATTAATAATAAATATTTTTCTAGCTTTCTTCTATAAAATAGTCTATGTAGCAAAATGTTGCACAGCACAACAGAACAGCAGTAGGAATACAAAAATGTGGGTGATCCTTTCACCTGCCCGGGCCATTAAAGGAGAGGGGTTTTGTTTGCTCCTTGTTCTACTTATCCCTTTTACAGTGACTTTGGGGGGGACAACAACCAACCCCCCTGTCCCCAAACAGCTCAAAATCACAGCTCCAGGTTACAGGGGAGGAGTGTTAGAGAGCAGCAAGGTGAAAAACACAGACAGGTTTAAAACCTGGGGTAAGGCAAAGTCAACAAAGCAGAGCAGCACCCTGAAGGGACAGAGAGAAAAAAATTAAGGTACAGTGATTTTGTGCCTTTCTAACCCAAACCAGAATTGCATCCAAAGCCTTTTGGGGTGGGGAGGTGTGGTTACTGGCTGAGCACACGCATCAAACACCACTTCTGTCCATGGCTGAGTGTCTGCACTGACCAAGGGTGGTTATGGCTTAAAGCTTAAAATGTTACCCCATGTCTCACCTTCTTGCAAAGCTGGAACACTTGATATTCAGGAGCCTTTGGGAAAGGGCAGAGCACTGTGAAAGAGGCATGGTTGTGGCAGGATGGGGATGGGGATGCTTGGCCATGTCATTTTGGGGCTGACTCCCTTCTCTGTCTGGTGTAGGTCCCAGCTCTACAGTGGAGGTTTCTCTCTTTGCAGAAGGGATGAAACCAACTGACCAAGAGAATCAGTTAGGGGCTTCTGCCACATTCACAGCTCAGAGCTGGGTTATAGCAAATGCTCATGACAGGCCTTGCAAAGGGATGCCAGATTGACCCTGCCTCCATCCCACCCCCCACCCCCCAGCTAGACATGGCATCACAGAATCCCAGATCAGTTTGGTCTGGAAGGGACCTTAAAGCTCATCTTTTTCCAACCCCCAGCCATGTGCAGGGACACCTTCCACTAGACCAGGTTGCTCTGAGCCCTGTCCAACCTAGCCTTGAAACTTCCAGGGATGGACCATCCATAACTTCTCCGGGCAACTTCTGCCAGTGCCTTTACCAGCCTCTGAGCAGAGAGGTCAACCCCTAAAAAAACTGCAAGGAGTTCCTCACTTTTGTTCCCTCCAAGCCCAGTCTCAGCCTAACGCCTCCTTCACCCCAGCTGGGTGCAAACACAGAGGGTGAAAAGAGCCAAACCGAGGACCCACGGGCACCAAAATCTGGACAAAGCCACCACCACACCTGGGCTTCCTTCCTTGGCTTTTGAAGCAACGTGCAGAGTCTGGCACTACAGGGTGCAACGCATTGCCCCAAGCACAGCCTTGCAGCGGGGGCCTGCTGGGTGTCATTGCAGGGTCACACATGCAGCAAAGAGCAGCAGCATCACCAGCGGACAGCGGGGACGGGGCAGGACCGGGAGCCAACCAAAAAACGTTTTTGGCTTTGCAGAGCGTCGTTAACCGCCTTCAATGCACGGGGACGCAAGCGAAAGGATCACCAGAGTTTGATTATGAGTGCAAATAATATTCATATATATGTGCTAAACACAGTCACTATATTGCAGTTTTCCACTATGTCACAGCATACAGAATCAAAGGTTTGCATTTTTATGGAATGTATCCAAGGTAACAGCACCACAGTAATACAGTTTGTAATCACACACCCTGATTTTTTTCTCTTTTTTTTTTTTTTTTTTTGTTTTTGACAAGATAAGCATCACCCCCCACATCCCCTGTTTAATTTTTTTTTTAAGTACCGATGCATGCAAAGCATTCCATTCCCAGAAACAATGCAAAAATGAGGTAATAGGAGTAATAAAAAAAATTAGTAGTAATTTCTAAATAAATAAATTATAATTAAAAATGCAAAAAAAACAACTATAAAAATAATTAAATAAGAACCCACAATATCTACAAGTTAGTCATAAATTATGATTGTTAAATATAAGGCATTTAAACTCACAAAACCCTGTAAACTATCAATGTTTTGTTTCTAGTGATTTTTTTTGTTGTTGTTGTTTGTTTCATTTTGTTTTTTTTTTAAACTCACCCTATTATCGCAACCTACTCGTACAAATTATTTAAATGCAAAGAAACCTGACACACCAATACAACTCCAGATGCTGTAAATTTGCACACACCTTGGGATCAGTCACTCACACTAGACCATGGGAGTTTGGTGCTTTTCTTCACCAAAGGGTTTGGTTGTTTGGTTTTTTTTTTCTTTTTTAGTTTGCTTGATCTTTTTTTTTTTTTAAAAACTGTGCTTGTTTATTAGGCAAATAGTAACACTTTCTCACAGGCTTTAAGAAAATACGCTGTTCAGGAGCACTCCTCATCCCCTCCCCACCCAGCCAGAGTCCCAGTCACTCTGTTCCTCTCCCAGCTTCACCTCCAGCTCACGCCTGGACAGACCAGACCTCCTTACAGTGTATTTTACCAGCAAAGCCTTGTATAAAATAGTATTATTAGTATTATTTGTAATGATGCTTCAATCTGCTGCTGCTGGAGCCAGTCCCAAGGATGGACCACTCCTTGACCCATGGACATCAGGGCTGGGACCACCACATCCCCCAAGAAGCTGTTGCTTGTGCTGGGTGTCAAATATATCATAAAATCATGGAATAGTTTGAGTTGGAAGAGACTTTAATAGGTCATCCAGTTCCAACTCCCAGACGTGGGCAGGGACACCTTCCACTAGACCAGGATGCTCAGAGCACTGTCCAACATGACCTTGAATGTTTCCAGTAATGGGGCAGCCACAGCTTCTCTGGGCAGCCTGTGCCAGTTTCTCATCACCCTCATAGCCAAAAATTTTTTCCTTATGTTTTTCCTATAGGCCACCAAGTGTTCCACTCCCCTCCCTCCTACCTACACAGACACATGAAGAGAGAGGCTCCTGCACCTGCACATCCATGGGGATTCGCTCTTTCTCTCCCCTCTCCCTTTGGGAAAAAAGAAAGTCTCTGTGGTGCCTCTGAGGTTGGTGTTTTCCAATTACAGCTCATGGGAATCTTCCGATTTCTCAGATAGCGGTTTATGATTGATTCTACTTGGAGAGCATCACTTGGCTCCAGCGAAACGGATGCTCAGGGGAGCCAGAAATCATTCCCACCACATCAGAATTTTCAATACATAATGTTCCTGACTAATTCCCCTGCTGCTCCTCCGCAGCTCTTTCACTCCCCTAGTACGAAATTTAAAAAAAAAAAAGAAAAAAAAAAAGGAAAGAAAAAGAATGTTTTGGTTGTGAATGTCGGTTTTCCGGAGGGTTTTCCACTCGGTCCCTGTGGTTGGCATGCTGAGGTGTTTTTTTTTTTTCAGGGGGAGCGTGGATCACAACAGCTCGCTCCTTCAGGTATTGCCTCTTAATTCTGTTTTGAGTGTTAATGTGATTAAGTTGTGTTTTAACAACCACTGATTACTCCGTGTGGATACAGCCTGAAACACGTACACAAGCTCACACGGGTGCAGGTACACATTCTTTGAGGCAGGTCACAACCCAGCAGCAAGCCTCCAAAAAACAGCAACCCCACTTCCAACCTCCCTCCCACGCCCAAGTGCTCATGGTCTCAGCAGTGCCTTGAGAGCATCGAGTTTTCTTCTGTCCTGTTATCAGAGATGCCTTTGCATGGGAGAAGAGTCGATGTTTTGCACCTCTCGGCACTTCTCTGGCGTTATTATACCCCAAAGCACAGCTGTAGGCACCCACTCCAGTAACCATCATTTTGGAGCTGGTGAAGCCAACCAGTCACGCAGCTCACAGGAGAAAGCATCACAGACAATGGCAATCAAATAGACAGATCTTCCTTGGATTTTGATATGACAAGCTACTTTGTTAAAGATACAGAAAGCAAAGAAACAGCATCTAGTCCAATATTATGCCCCTACAGAAAGTGTCCAGCACCAGCAGACAAGCAGGAACGAAGCTTCTCCCTATTGCTTCGTTCATTTTATCCCCAATTTTTATTTCTTTAAGCTTCTCTAAATTTGCAACACACTGTAAATGCAAGGGAAAGAAGCACACGCGGCTGAGGCAAAGAGCGCAAACCCTTCTGACTGTAAACAGGATTTTGCTTTTTCTCCTCTTTCCCCACCCCAAGGGTGGGAAAGTTTGACCTCTTTATTCCCCCTCTGCAATGTATTAATCAGGCACCAAAATAAGGAATCTATGAAAAAATATTTGGTGCAAAATAGGTAACAGCAACATGTCCACCACAAGATGAGTAGGGCATCAAACACAACATTTCTTAAGCTAACATGCTCCAGCTGCCATCCATAGAAATAGCTAAAGGACCCCTAACATGTTTCTACATATTCAAGAGGTATATATACAATCCCCATGAAGTGCAGGATTGACAGGCCAGGCTACCACAACTAGTTCCTTCATGTTCAACACTAAATCTTCTGCAGCACGGGGTCTCTGAGCTCCGGGAATGCCAGCTCCCTTTCACTGGGCCTGTATCCTGCGTATGTGCAATATCTCCTACTGCTAGATATTGTACCACCACCTCCTCCTCCTCCTCACTAACGTGCCTGCAGACTTCCCCTCTCAATCAAATGGCTCAGAAGGCAAAAATTTTGCTGCAAGGGTCTATGGCCATACGACCTGGTAAGGAAAATGGTGTGTCCAGCCAGTCCTTTCAGCTGTCCGAGCCGAGCTGTGTTTCAATGTCCACCCTGCAGATCGGGCACTTCTTGCTGGTGGCCAGCCACTGGTCCACGCACACTTGGTGGAAGAGATGCATACAAGGCAACCGCCTGCAGAGACAGAAAAAATACCAGCCTGTTAGGATGGAGGAGGCCCAAGGGACCTAGAAGAAAACCACATGGGAAAGCACTGGAGTGGTGACACCAGTGTTGCCGAGGTCCTGCAGTCTCTCCCAGCCACACCAGCTCACACAGGGAAGTCAGATGGAGATACTGTCCTTCTTGGCCTATTGGAAGCCCTCACACCATCCTGAACTGAGTTGCTCCAGCCATTAATTACCCTGCCTGCTACTTTTTAATCTTTCAGGAATAAGGTTATACTCCAAAGCCTTTTGGTTCTTCATCACTGTGACTCACTGGCAGTTAGGTGGGTCCCCACTGCTCCTGCATGGTGTCTGGTGTGCCCCCAGGGAATGTGGTTGCTTTTTACCTACATCACCTTTGCCATCATCTGCCCTTGTAATACAGAGAGCACAAGAACCCACAGCAAGAGGATCAGAGCTTTTCTTGAGGGTTTAAGGCAATTAAGGGGTGAGAAGCAGGACCAGGTACTTCTCGCCTGCAGTTCCTTCAGCCACGGTAGTTCAGTCCTTTGCAATTTCTTCTCCCCACTCTCTGTCACGATCAGAGATCTGACCTAGACAACAGCCTGGAATGTCTGTTATGGATGACTGGGGTTCTGCTGTTGGCTCAGGAAGGTTCCCTGTGACCACGTGGGCAAAGTAATCTTATTCTACAATAAACCAGCTCCATTCTGGACACAAGCCCGAATCTCCTGGACTTCATACTCATACTGCCTTTTATCATACTTTGGTCATCTGTCAAGCTCAGATGTTGATGACTGCAAGCTCCAGATGGCTGCCTGAGACCCGGGACACACCCCTCTTTGGCAGTTTGCCACCTGGTCTATTGGCACAGCCTTGAAGCAGGTGATCCAAACCCAGGAGACACTATAAAAACTTGTCCCTCCTGCTGTTGCAGACCTCCTCCTACTTACAGCCCACACCAATGTCCATCTAAGTAGTTTTTGATTTCCCAGACCCTGCAACGACCCAAGTGAATTTCTCAGGACAAGAACAGGGGCAATCCCACGAGTGCACAGTGGCATCAATCCAAATAAGCACAACTCAGATGGCATGGAGAGGCAGAAGAGCAGATGGGAGGATCATACCTGACGTCTTCTCCGTCTTCTAGCATGGACAGACAGATTGTGCATTTCTCATCGGTGTCTGACTCCTCTCCATCATCTTGCTCAGCTTTGCCTTCTTGCGGTCTTCTCTGCAGCAAGGTTAAAGACATGGTTTGGTTAGGCCTTGACTTTCTAATGGTCTCCCAAGCCTGGACAGTTGTAGGAAGGTAAATAATAAGAGCTTTTTCTATCAGACAGATCCTCCAGCCTGGAGAAGCCACCCCAGCCAAAACAGCCAGTGAGATGAGGGTGCCACCAACATGCTGCTGGCTGGCACATCTCCTCCTGGGGCCAGTGGCAGCGAGGCTGATGGTGGTGCCCCAAGGAGCAGCCTCTCCTCTGCTGCCCTAATACAGCCTCCTGCCACTTCCTTGCAGTGGGGATGGCTCCATGGTCTCCTTTGCTGGAAGCTTTTCCTGGAGACCCCAAAATGCGTGGGGCCACCACTGCCAGGAAGGGCAACCACTGTGCCTCATGCCAGCCTGGCCACCAGCCCAGCCCCATGCTGCACCACAGGGCAGTGCTTAGCCTGTCAGCTCTCCCCTTTTCTCTATTCTCCTATTGATACCATTTTTCCGAATCCACTGGAGATGCAGTCAGAGGTAAGTGCAGGAGGAGCTATCTCACTTTCCCCCTGGGCAACGCAACATCCCTACACGTTACCGCCCAGCTGGGGACGACCAGCACACGGAATTACTACCCAAACAAGCATTTTTTCCCCCGTTCTCTGCTCAGAACAACCCAAAGATGTGCCACCCATCTCCTTACAGGGAAGACATCAGCTCCAACAGAGGAGACACCCCTTGCGAAGGGAGGGGAGGACAAGGTCCCCCACGCCACGGAGCCGCCGCCCTCGCTCACGTCGGGGCGCGCGGGCAGGGCCGCTTGCATGCAGAACAGGGTGGGTTTGCATGCACCAAGCCCCCTTGGAGGTGTGCACTTTCTTACCAGGTGCGGACAGGGGGGAAATTGCACCCGCTGGGTGGGAGAAGGTTGAGACCCCTTTGAAAATTTGGCCCGCAGCTTCCTAGCCTAGAAGTGAGAAACAGCCAGCTGAGCTACGCCACCGCTTCGGCCCGGGAGCCCCCGCAAGATACCAAAGCGTCGCCTCTGGATTTTGCGTTCCTCCCCTGCTTTGGGGAATGTTGTGAGTGATGGTTCTGGCTCGCCAACCCTGAGGATTGTGACCCACCAAAGTCCTTCCTTCTGTCTGCTCCGTGCCCACAGCCCTGGGAGCTGGGAGGGGTTGGCAGCCATGCCGTGGTTTTGGGGCACTCACCTTCTTGTACTTGTGGGGGAAGGTGAATCTCTCGATGGTGTTCTGGACGGCGCCCCGGCTCACACTGCCCAGCCTGTCCTCCAGCTGCAGCAGCTCCTGTGGCACAGGAACATCAGGAAATGCCATCCTCATTGCTCCCAAGGCACGAGGTCCCACCACACAATCCTACCCGCTGGTGACCAAGGCTCCCTCCTGTCCTTTCCTCAGTGGAAAGTCCATCAAACCCAAATCAGTCACGATTTCATGATGGATCTGAGCCCCGGCACTTTGTGTTAATAACTAAGGGCTTAAGGCACAGAGCTGGATATCCAGTGTTTCACAAATTAGGGTGCAATTTGAGATCCATCTGACAAGCTAGGGAAACAAAACCCTATAGAACTGGAGCACTTTGTTTACAGACATGAAAGGAGCCAGAGTCAACTCAAGCCAGACCCAGGCGCTTTGGAGTAAACCATCTTTTACCAAACCCACTCAACCCCTTTGCCTCCCAGCTATTACTAAAATTGCTGAATGACTCAATGCAATTTCCATGCCACAAAACAGCCTTACAAGTTTATACCAGAGCTTGCATAGATTCCCAGCTCTTCAGAAATTAATAATTCCAAGTCCCCAAGATATACGTACTTCATAGCTCTCCCGCACAGCAGATGTGTGCCTGCTTGGGTTCAGTCCCTGAAGAGCAAGCAACTGAAGTTGAGGGTAAGGGTAATTTCTGATTTCATGAACAACCTGCAAGAAGTGAGGGAGAGAGATAAAGCTACCTGTACTTACCCACAGAAAACCCTCGTGTACCCTGATGTAAATCTAGTGCTTTAAAAATACAAATTGAAAGAGCAGATTGACACCTTCACTGACAGAAGACTTTTAATAACCAAAAAATGAGGTTTTATTAAATAGATCTCCTATGAATTACCTAAGAACACACATTTCTTCTGGATAAACTATCTGTTATAATAGTTCCTGTAGCATCCATAATGTTGCAGTTCCAAACTCTCAACATGGATTAGCTTTAAAAGAAATCTTATTTTATTTAAATGGATGGATTTCTCTTCATCCAAGCTTTGATTTTTTTCCTTTAAGACTTACTGTAGTACACAGGTGAGAGGGTCTGACTACAATGCATCAGGAAAAACACCTCGTGGGATTCCTGAGGGTGCTTTAAGGACTAGCAGTGCTTGGCATGGCTCAGCTCCAAATACAGCACCCTGCTAGGAGAGTGGGTAGCAAATGACCCCAGTCAGCCCATCTTCTCATCAAACCCACCCCTGCCTGTGCAGGTGGCCATGCAAAACCTTTACAGGTGGCATCAGAGCTGGTGTAGAGAGCAACAACAGGATGAGGGATGGTCCTCAAGGCTGAGCCCAGGGAAAGGAGTCACCCACTGCTCATCCTCCTACATAAAAAAAAGTCCTGGGAGCCCACAGTTTGTGCCAGTATTAATAATATTATTAGTAGTAACTGCTGAGTCTCTCACATCCTGCCCAGGTTTTGCAGACCAGCTTGTGAACCCTGGTGCTGCACACGATGGACCGAATCCTTCCAGAACATCTGAGCTTTTCTTTTCCTTCTCTAATCCAGCGCAGTGATGCAACATTATCCCTTCAGACACTCCCTCCCACAGCCGGAGATAAGTGGGATTCGCAGAAGACAGGTGATAGAAAGATAGCAGCCTTTATTTTGACTGCCTTCTGGCAGACAATGCATAAAACATTTCTCAGTGAGAGTGTTTCACTTACCATCTGCGTTGAGGATGTGCTTCTGGGGAAATGGTGCATCCGAGGTGTGGCTAAGTAATGCTGATATGGCTGAGGGACGGGACGGACCTGGAACTGGGCGTGAGTCAGTCCCGCATCGACACTGAGGTCCCTGTGGGCATGAGGATGGAAATATGGCTTTGGATGCCATGGATTTGTTCATGGACTACAGACCATGCTCACAGAGCAACCTCCCCAGTGGGCTCTGGGCTGCTGTGGGGTTCCTCAGCCTGGGGAGATGCTCCTGGAAGGGAGTTTTCTCTAATTTGAGCAATCACCCACCAGGCCAGCACGAAGGAGTGAGGGGTTGGTTTTATGCCAGTCAGCGTTTGTGTTGGTCGGGGTCAGGGGCTGAGCAGGTGCAGCCCTGCTAATTTCAGAGAAAGAGAATTTTGATGGCTCAAAATGATGCCCAGGCTCAGTAACTCAACCTGGTCAGACCAGGTCCTGTCTGTGCTGCCACTATTACGGTATGCTTTGAATATTTTGCAGGAATATAGGCAATTAGTCAAGGAAGATAGTTAGGAGCTAGCTAGGTGCTGCCTGGGAGCTTTTTGACATGCCTGTGCTCTCCTTGGAGGTCTCCCAGTCCAGACTGTGGTAGGACTTGGGAAGTTAAAGGAGACTTGCACCTCAACTGAACCCAGACTCAGGTTGGTGAGGGTGTGAGGTGTGAGGGTGGTGAGGCCCTGGCACAGGTTGCCCAGAGAAGCTGTGGCTGCCCCATCCCTGGAAGTGTTCAAAGTTAAAATAGGGCTTGGAGCAACCTGGTCTAGTAAAAGGGCAGGTTCCTGCCCAGGGCCTAGGGGTGGAACTAGGTGATCTTTGAAGTCCCTTCCAACTTAAACCATTCTGTGATTCTACAATTCTGTGAACTCCAGAACTGAGATTTGTGCATAAAACATAAAGGTTTTAAGAAATGTCTGGATGGGACTGCTGTAGGGAAGTGTGTCACACAACTAGCAGGCCAACAGCAATGGAGTAGGACACCCCTGATGGCCCCACTAGCCCGCACACAGCCTGGCCCAGGCGAGCAGAGGTGGAGCTCAGCTTGGTGAATCTGGACACTTTTATCCAGAAGAATAACCCGGCTCAATCCCCGGACCCGGCATGACCAAGATCCCATCCAGCTTCACAGCTCTGCCCAATCCATCACAGAGACATAAACTGCAGCCCCATTGCCACACCGTGTGGAGGGGATAGGAGGAGACCTAATGCAGCATCTCCATCTATAATCCAATTAGCTGATCCCTGTTCTCTCCAGCCAAAGAGTATCTCAGCAAACGAGTGCTTTGAACATCATTCACTTTATCATAATTAGAAAATCCGGAGCTCTAATAACCATTGTCTTCACATTTGCCAAAGCAAAGCTAATTAGAGCACAGGGGTGGCTTCCCGTCTCAGCCTTAAACTTCTCCTCCCCTGTGTGGAGGGACGGCAGCAGCGCGTACCACAGCTTGTTAGGAGCAACCCAGATGTGTCCTCCAGCAGCTGAGAAACTGCTTCCACCCAGCAGAAGGCAGAGGACATGAAGGGACAGTGAATGTAGAAATCCTTCATCCAGAACAGCCTGTGCACCAGGCAGCAGCACCAGGGCTCTCGAATCCCCTAGTAAGGCACCCTGCACCAAGCTGGACTTGATGGCCCTTGTGGGTCCCTTCCAGCCCAGAACATTCTGTGGTTCTGTGATTCTAATTTGAGGCCAGGAGAGGGACTATCTTTACTGGCCCTGTGCTAGAGAGACAAAACCTGGCAGGGGATAAAACACAGCAGGCAACTGGCAGAACACAACCAGGATGAGAATTCACAGCACTGGGCAGTTTCCAGCTCCCGTGTCACAATTTTGGATATTTATCCAATTGTTTAAGACTGTTCCCAGGTGGATGGAAAGCTCAACTGGAAATCAGGAGGCTTTGGTTCCATTCCCAGCCCTGTCACTTTCCTGATGCATGACCTTGACCACTTCCTCTTTGCAATCCTGTATTCCCTGTCTACAGAAGAGATGTGATATTCCATAGAGTGCTTTGAGATCAAGCACTGAAGAGATCTCTCAAAGGTGAATGGCCATTATTAGCTTGTACAAGTAGTTGCAACAATAGAACTGCTGAACTGTTTGTGAACCTGGAGACTTAAAGTCAGATGTTGAGGTTCCTGAAGTGATGGTGTGGGTCTACAGATGGGTCCAAAGCAGACTACTGCACGGTACTGTGTTTTCCCAGGGTTTGAGGGTGACTAAGCAGAGTGCACCAGCTGAAGAAAATCAGAAATAACTATTGCTTCCTAGCCTGTGCTATAGGGATGACTGTACAGCATCTTGATGCTCAGATGAGAGGTTCAAGATGTGATGCTTATGGTACATGGGCTGCCAACAACCAAAAGTGGCAGATAAGAGTCCAGATAACAGCCTGGATGGTCATCAGTATGTGCGTGTGCAGGAGATGATTTATGGAACCAAATGGGAGTTTATTTATTCTTCACCAGAAGATTTTAATTGAGGTTGGGCTCTCTGGGATGACTGATCCCTTTCAGATCCTCCTTCCATCCCCGCTTCCCGTGGCAGTGCCCACCACCTACTGCTTCTGAGAAAATGCTGCTGCTGCTCATCCAGGGGTAACACACTAGAGGGAAGTTTTTATATATCTGTAACTGGGCAAAAACTGTACGTGTGCCCTGAGGGAAAATGAGTCACCCAAACATATACACACAGTGTATGATTTCTGTCGTCCCCACTCCTTAGGTTTTATAAGGTTATGGAGCAACACAGCAGGGAAAAGGAGGGAGGAGGAGGGAACATAAAGTGATGCTTTATCAGATCCTTCTAATTATTATAATTAAATGCTCTGCGCTGAAATAGAGGCAGAAAGAATGTCTCTATCCAGATGGTACATGAGCTGCTTTGCAAACCGATCAGAACCATGTCATCCTGGCCACATTCAGCCCACGGGGATGCCAGTAATGGGAACACCTAAGAAGAAAATGGCAGAAGCACGTGGCCATATTTTTGGCTGTCTATTATTGCACTGAAGGGGAAAAAAACCCCACCCATGTTAAAGTAGGACTATTCATTTGTGGAGTGAAGCATTCAAATGTTAGGAAATGCCATCATTAAGATTTCCTATCCCATTTTATTTTGGTCCCCTTGTAGGTATACATTGCGATTGTCTCTAATTACAAGCTCACATGCTATTTTTTCCATTCAGTGCACAGAATGGACTTTGCTTAGCTTACAGAAGTATGGTTTTATTTCCTTATTCTATCAAGTAGGGCACCATACCTTATTAAATGTTCAAGAGCTCAAAACCTGCTCTGAAAATGAAGTCATCAATTCCCTGCAAGGTTTTTCCAGGGTATTAAACACTACAGTGGGAGAATGATTAACAAATCTTGATTCATGCTACCCTGCATGGCAGAGCAGCATGGTGGTCACTAATTGAGACCACAGAAGAAGTTATGGCCACTGTTTTTTGGGTGCCTGAAGGACAGCAGAAGGTCTAGTTCAGGCAGAAACAGTGGTCTAAAGGAAAAAGATCCTGTCTGTGCCCTGCAGCAGGAAGAGCCACTGGGGAAGATTAATGCTTGGCTGCACTCTACATCTGTAGGTGAAGAGTTATGGGCAGTAACAGTGGAGCATGTTCAGAGAAGGGAACGGAGCTGGGGAAGGGTCTGGAGCAGCAGGAGCAGCTGAGGGGGCTCAGCCTGGAGAAAAGGAGGCTTGGGGGGATCTTCTCACTCTCTTGCAACTCCCTGACAGGAGGGTGGAGCCAGGTGGGTGTCAGGCTGTGCTCCCAGGGAACAAGGGACAGAACAAGAAGAAATGTTCTCAAGTTGTGCCAGGTAGTGTTTAGATTGGATATCAGGAGCAATTCCTTCACCCAAAGAGCCATCAAGTTCTGCCACAAGCTGCCCAGGGTAGTGAAGGAGTTCCCATCCCTGTAGGGATTTAGAAGCCATGTAGATGTGGCACTTGGGGACATGGGTTACTGCTCAGCTTGGCAGTGCTGGGGAATTGTTGGACTCGATGATCTTAGAGGGTTTTTCCATCCCAAATGATTCTATAATTCTATATATATGCCTGGAGGCTTTAACACACACTTATGGCCCTCTCAGAGGCGAGTTTTCCCACTGCACATTCCCCACACTGTAACTGTTGAGCTGCCCCATTGGCTTCCATGAAAGCATTGATCCCTGATGACACTCCCCAACCCTTGCAGCCTTCCTGGGACTTTTTAAAGACCTCACTCAATGCACTAGTGAAATGTGGATCACTTACCAGTCCGTGCCTTCTGCTAAATACCTGGGCTGGGGCCCCATGGGTTGTGGAGTCTGCAGTTGGTGGCTGAAGTCGAAGCTGGGGTGTAGGCGGTGAGGCTGGACAGACATGCGCTCTTGAGCCCGCCTGCAACAGAGAGAACAGCGACACAGTCAGACACGGGTGGCACTGGGATCTACAGCTCCTGCTCCAGCCTCCTGTCAATAACCCATGGTAAAACCGCAATGTGAATACGTGTCCAAGAGAAAACAGCCCAGGCAGGTGTCAGGGATGGTGGGAAGAGTAACCCAGGGCTACGTCATTTCCTCATCGTCGCCACGGACATTGACTCTCATGCCCTTTGACAACTACATGTGCTCAGTTTACAGGAGATGCTATTTGGTGGCAAAAGGAGAGAAAAAGAGGAAATCAAACAACACCTTCCTGAGCAGCTTCGTGCTGTTTGCACTATTTTTTTTTCTCCACAGTCAGCCCCATAAAGAACACACAAGATAAAACGTGTCCCTGCTTCAGCCGTGATCCATCATCATAAAGAAGCTGCAGGTTGTCTCGTCTCCCCATGCAGTCCATAAACTCCTGGGGAACCTCATTCATAACTGGATTACTCAGGAGTGACTGAAAGCAGAATTTACTCTTGCTGGCCTTTGCCAACATTCCTCTGGCTGATGGACAGGCCAGGCTGGGATCCAACTCCTTCTCCCTCAGCTCTGCTGCCATTGCAGGCAGGGAAAAGAAAGTGGTAGAAAATACAACAGAGTTTTCCTAGGGATTTGAGTCTTGTGGTTATTGTCTAGTTGAACCACTCAGGGAAAGAGGATGTGCTGCTTGATCAATGTCCACATTTGGCAAGAGACAAAGTGGATGCACAAGCAGGATTTGCATTACAGACAGACTCATCACCTTCACTCCCTGCTGAGTCCCCACTTACCAGAGGAGCCACAAAGCAAATCTTCAGAAAAAAACCAGAGCAAATGGAACAGGCAACTGCTAGGTAAATAATTTTTAATGCTGCCACAGCTCAGAGACCTCACTTCAAAGGCATGACCCACATTCCCATTATTGGGACCTCCTGCCCCACACCTGTAAGGGTTCTGACACCCTCCTCCCCTGCTGCTGTGCTTTCAGAGACAAGCTCTGAGCCTGGCCAAGAGGTTCCTGCCTTTTTTCACAGCTCACTTACAAATATAAAACTGACAGCGTTTACCAAAGCAGAATCTGCATGGAATTGTGTTCTGTGCTTTTATTTGAATTCAGCTTATGACTAAGAGATAAACACGTGTATCGTCAGTACCTCAGCCTTGAACATACTCACCACCCAATTATTATCTAATCATTAAAACCACCTAAAATCCAGCTTATGCAAAACAAAACAATGATGAGAAGAACACACAATTTTAAAACAGAAAGGGTATGGAAAGAAACGGTTTTCTATCTGTAGCATTCTTTCCAAATGAAGCATTATTGCAAGGATTCATCCTCTGATTCTTGATCCATGGATACAACCCACAAATAGCTTCCATATGTTTACAAAACAAGGACTACTCTCTCAAAAAACACAATCAAGGCAAGGCCAGGCATCCATTTCCACCTCTGCTGAGTTACAGTAGGTCTCTCTGCATTCATCAACCCAGTCTGAATTTAAGATGCTTTCAGTGACAGAATGTGCTGCAGGTCAGTGGCACCATTCCCTCATAGAGATGGAAAGCCTACCCAGACCTAGGAGGGCGAGATCTTCATGTGTAAAAATGAGACAGGTAGATACAATCTCTTGCACTGCTTTGAAACAGCAGCTGCAAGGGTGTAGCTCACCCTCACAGTCTGTTCCTCTCTCTGCCACGCAGGACAGGTTCACCACAACGCCATCACAATTCTCCTACAAGTGACAACAACACTGGGTGACCTTGGGACACACTAGATGAGTGCTGTATGGATCCCCATGGAAAGGTACACAGTAGATGAGCACAGTAGGGAACCCCCGAGATAAAGATGCCTGTTCAGGTGCAGCTTGCCCTGCAGCCTCCCTTCTGGTGGATGAATTTCCAGGGTGCACAGAGGAACTCGTGAAGAAAACGCAACGCTGCTGGGCTTCTGCAGATGAAAAGAGGTTGATGTAGCTCCTCAACATCCCTCAGGAAGAGCAGGACCCCCTTCCCTTACCTGGGATGGGGCATGAGCCGGCGGTGCTGTGCCTCGAGGAGCTGCTGCTGGAGGAGGTATTGCTGGTGTAGCGCCTGAGGTAGGAAGGAGGGTCCAGCGACGTCCTGGAAGGGCAGGGGTGGCACTGGGGCCAGGGGCTTCCTGCAGCCCCCGGCCCCCCCCTCAGCGACACCCCTGGGCCGTGTTGGGTGTCCCGCACTGGTGGCACTGGGGCCAGGGGCTGGTGCAGGGGGCCACTGTGCTGGTGTGCAGGGGCCATGTGAGGGGTCAGCCCCGGCTGGGGCTGCACCGTGTGAGGCAGGGTGAAGTCAGCGGAGAGCTGAGGCTGGGGACCCAGGTGGAAATGCCGGCAGGAGGTAGCATGGGGATGCTGAGACCTTTGAAAGGGAGCACCTGGAAGAGAAGAGAACACAACCCGGTCTAGTGGAAGGTGTCCCTACCCACAGCGGGGGGGTTGGATCAGATGACCTTTAAAGGTCCTTTCCCACCCAAACCAGTCTACATTTCTGTGACACAGCCTCATCATTTTAGAAAAGGGAAAAATCATTTTCTAAAATATGGAATTTTCAAAGCTTTCCTTGAACTGCAGACTTTCCATCCAAGTCAAGGTATTTCTTTGCCTCTCTAAAAATGTCTCATAGGCAAGGAAATAATCTCTGCTCCAAGAAACTCTCTCTCCCTGACTGCAGGACATGAGTGAGACACCTCCCACCTCTGAGAGGGGGGGATGAAGGCTATGTTTGTTTGCTGAGACCCTTCAATAGCCCATCCTCGTGAGCTGCTTGCAGGGAGAGAGCAGCTGCTAGAAACATAACACAGACTGCTATGAGACCAGCCATGAAGCTGATGGGAGTGAGGAAGAAATGAGGTGTGAAAGATATCCGTAGTGGAGGCGTTTTGTGAAACATCTGGCACTGGCTTGCACCTTGCTCAAGATCCTCGCTTGGACGGGCCCTTGTTCCAATCCAGCATGTTAATTCCTACATTCCTGGAGCATTTACAGGCACCCTGCAAAACTTTTCACTCTTAAGCTAGGGAAAGAGTAAATGCAGAGGTGAAGGATGAGGCTCAAGTGAGGCTATTAGAAAAGCTTTTTTGCTGAGGATCATTCACAGGATAAGACTCCTACCCTTTGCACGGTGTTTTGAACACCCCATCTTCCTAGAAAACTCCCCTTCTTTTTTAAACCTTCAGGAATGGCCCAAAATATCCAGGAACAACAGCACCAAGAGACACCGAGTGTCATCCCAAGACACAGGCATGCACCTCATGCCTTCTTCTCCCAGGCCCCTTCTGCTCCCACCTCCCTGGCAGGCAGGGCCAGTCCATCACAACAGCCTAGGGAGCCCTGAGTGCTTTCTACTCACTCCCATATGGAAACAGGAGAGACACACAGCAAGCCAGATGCCAGCAAGAGAAACAACGGGAGAGGACTTAACAGAAACGGATGGTTTGCAAAACTGTGCATAATTACACACAGCATCTCTTAAATACAATCTAATCCTCCAGAGTGCCCCTCTGAGAGAGGCAGAGGGAAACAAATTCCTGTGCCACCCACAGTGGAACTTCTTAAGGTGATATTTCCCCTGCTGTCAGATAACAGCATGATTTGACCACGCTATTAATTAAAACCTGAGGTGGCGGGATCAGACCCACCATTCCTCAATGATGGAGCTGCAAACCCAGACCAAAGAGCTGTCTGTATATTCCATTCCGCTGCAGGTTATATTTGTTGCTGATGGCATGTCCCAAATTCACCACAAACAGGTAAAGGCTGAATAACAAAATGGGGATCCTGTGCTGCCCTGGCCAATTGCTAGAGGGAATCATGGGGAGACGCCTCCTGATTGCTGTTTGCTTGGTACTTGCCAAGCAACTCGTGGTGAATTGCTCAACCTCTAATGGCCACATGTCCTCCCAGTGGCAAACTGTTGCAGCAGGTCACAGGTGAGCCATCTGACACCTCCAGGCCTTCACAGGGCCTGAAGACAAGGTGCAAGAGCAGGTAAAACTGTTAATCCCTCCACGCACCCCAACACACCAACCTGTGTCACCAGGCAGCAGTTCACTTGTATTTCAGACAAAAACGTCTTAGGGTGGCATGAGACAGTGAAACTTAGTGATACTCCCCCACATTCCCTGGGACACATTTTGTAGCATTTTGTGAGTAAAGCAGAAAAAGCCTGTCTCTTGTCTTCTGCCACTCTGTAAACTGTTGATGCCTAATGCAACCTTAGCCAAGGATTTTCCAGCCTTACACTGGATCTTGGGAACCCTTAGTCTCATTTAGTTAAAGGTCTGCAGGATCTTTGATGCCAGAGCCACGGTGACCCACAGAGCACAGGGTGGGCAGATTATCTGGTCATGCTTTTGACCTGAATTTTTCCTCCCATACCAAGACAGTCCTTGGGAGGAACTCAGTCGTACGCTTCCGGAAGGTCCAGAACATGTAAACTTTATCTCTGGTATGTGTGTAGGAAGATATGCACAGCCAACATAACTGAGAGCAAAAGCCTGATCCATTTTGTTTTTGTACAGAGTGTTAATTTGCCTCGGTTTTAGGCACTAATTAATTAAATCAAGCATTTTTCAGTCTTTTTTGCTTGTACCTACTGGTTCAGTGATGCATTCCTCTCCACAGGAAAAACACTATGAAGATGTGACCGGGACCATATGATTAAATAAAACCCATCAATTTGTCTTAGCATAATACAATACCCTGTGTAGTAATTGTGCATTCCCTACAACTAATCCAATTGCTGATGAGGATTTTGACAGCAAAGCAAAGACTTTGGGGAATACTTCAGTAATTCTATGCTTATTAGCAGCCATCAAATCATACAGCTGGCATAACCAAACCAGCTTGCACAACAGAGAGCCAGTCCTCAACAATCATAATGCTGGTGGACCCCAGAAAGCCCTGGCAAAAAAAGTAACAGTGCAAAACTGAACATTACATTTCAAAGTCATTTATTTTTGAGTTCACCTTCTTCTAATCATTGCATCTAGCTGCAAAGGGCCTTGCCGGAGGCTGCTTTCCACAGCTTCTCCCATCACACCCTAAAGCCAAGGTCAGCATCAGGGATCGGTGAATGGGGAATGGCAACTTTGGTAATTCCTGCCACTGTTGGAATATGAGTGCAGATCAGTGGCTGCCCCAACTGGCCTAGTTCACCTCTGACACTGATGGATGCTGAGGACCTGCCATGGAGCTGGGTCTGCTGTATTCCCCATATCTTCCAGCTCTGCAACGCCACGGCCTCACAGAATCGTCTAGAATTACGGTATAGAATAGTGGAATCATTTAGGTTTGAAAAGCCCTCTAAGATCCTCAAGTCCAACTATTAACTCAACACTGCCAAGCCCACCATTAACCCATGTCTCCAGCCCGCACTGTGAAGACAATCTCCTGTGAGCCCGCGGGGAAGGTTGTTTAACCACCATTTATGAAGCACCCAAAACACTTAGCTGGGAGCTGGCAATCACAGGCTGCAGCCTCAAACTGAGGAGGTATAAATTAGTTTTTAGAAAGCCAACAGATGATGCAGGCACGTGGATGGCTGAACCTGTTCTGCTGCTCGCCGCCGTGCTGCCGTTCCCGCCCTTCACTCACAGAGGCTTCTGACAGGGCGGAAACCCGCAGGGAAGCTCAACACATCCTCCTCACCACCATGCTCTCACTTATACGGCTGCTTCCTTCTTTCCCCCCTCCCCCCCGGTTCTACAGTTATGTTTATTGTTTCCATACATTATCTGAAGCAGCACGGATGTATTTCCATTAACAGAAGTGCTCCTGTTTCCTTCGCGCCCCCGGGCCAATGCTGCAAACGATAAATTCATATATTTTTGCAGGTTGGTAAGTGACACCGAGTCACAGAAGAGTACTGGTCTGATCCTGGGTTTTTCTGCCCCTGGGAATTCTCCTTTAGCATCAGGCAAGGCTTGACTATACCTAGGCACATGCAAATTTATCCATCCAGCAGTATTTCACCCAGAAAGGCTCCGTGTGCTCATTCAGCGCTGACCCATCTCAGAGATGCAAAGCCCCTGGGTAATCCCTGCAGTGAGACAGGGCATGCTACAGGCTTTATGAAAAGAAAAACCCAGAAAGCAGAACTATTTATTTCCACCTCCTTTCCTTGGGCAATGGTATTCTTGATGCAGTCAGGCTACTGGTAAGGACATGGGATCAGGCCTGGAGCTGGCATTGGGATAGGTGTCTCAAGCAGACAGCTGCAGCCCAGGGAGCCCGCCTGCCTTCGAGAGGAAAACAAAATCTGTCTCATGTTGTTAAGCTGCCTACAATGCATGTGAATCTTTCCCCTGGGTAAAGGCAACCTGGCCAGCTTGTCAAGGCAGCCCACGGTCTGCACGAGAGGGCTGGGGATGGTGGGGGGGCTGGGGCTGTGTTACATCTAGATCCCATCACTGCAAGGAGGGAGATGGCAGCCCCTGGAGAGCCCTGGCTTCACTCAGTGACAGATTTTACAGCTGAAGGAGATCTGCCTGTTGTAATCGGCCATGGAGTCGCGCCATCTCGGCCATTTCGTCCTGATTAGACCCCCCAGGGCCCCTTCTTCTGTCCTGGGGAGGCAGATAAACCCCAAGAACAGGAGCCAGCAAGGTGCCTCTCCGAGCACCGGGAGAGTCTGCCAAGCTTTCAATAGCCCAGGAGCCTGCAGATTGCTTCCCTGGATGTGCATTAAAATTCCCCTCGGAGCCAGCAGCGCAGTGGGAAATTCACATTGGTCCTCACAGTACACAGTGAGCAAAGGCCAAAATCGTGGGAGCAGCTCCAGCTTCACATGGCACATAGAAAAGGACACCATGAGGGGCTCACACTGCGCCTACAAACAAGGTCCTAATTGCCTGATGCCATCAGCCACGTGTTAGCCCTTTCCAAATTATTTGTGCATATACCCTTGTGGAATGACTTAAATTCACTTACAAATAGGAAATGAAGGGTGACAATCACAGAACGGCTTGGGTTGGAAGGGACCTTAAAGGTCATCCGGTTCCAACCCTCCTGCCATGGAAAATAAAAAATTTAAAAAAATAAATCCCCAGACCAAATCCACAGTATATCCAGATGCATAAGAATGTAGTGGTCTAGGAGAGAGAGATATCGTGCCATCTCACTCCTGTTACAGGAGAGCTAACTGCAGGGCAAGGAGATTGGGGCGGGGAGAATGGAAGAGGAGGAGGAAAGAATTCAAATTTATCAGACAGGAAGGAATCTGTCTCACTTTCAGCACCTTTGCCAACAGCTTTCTCGTTTCATTTAGCAAAACACTGAATCACAGAATAATCAAGGTTGGAAGAGACCTTCAAGATCATTGACTCCAACCCTTCCCCCAGCACCACCATAATCATCCCAAAACCACACCCCCTAG